CCTTTTCAAAATTTTTTCCCCTTTTTTAAACTCCCCAAAACACAGTACATTTAGCAAAAAGTAACTGTGGGCAATTTCCCCTTTTTAAATTTTTTCCCCTTTAATTTAAAAACCCAACCCCCCCTCCCAAACACCCCAGCAATTTTCTTCCTTTAAAAACCCCATCAAAAAATATATTAAACAAAACCAAAGGTGGGCATTAAAAACCCTGTCTAAAACCTACTTTTTCCGGGAAAAAGTCTCCCCCCTTCTACCACCCTAACCTGACCTCACTATCTTTTTAAAAAACCCTTTTCAGCATTTAATAAAATTACCCCTATTCCTTTTAAATTGCAACATCTGGGCCCCATTGCTCCTTTTATCCACTCTTTTTTATATGCCTTTTCTAAATCCCTTAAAAGCAATAAAAAAATTCCCTCCTTTATCTTTTAAAAACTGTTAAAATAAATGCTTCAATGTTTAAAAACTTGATCTACACATTTCCCCCCCCACTCTGAAACCCCCCTTGGGTCATCCCCAATCCTTTCAAATTTTGTCTTTCCTCTAATTCTTTCAATTATAACCCTTCCGTAAAACTTTTCCTTGGGATACTCATAAGCTTATTCCCCTTTAAATTTTTTCAATTTTTTTTTGTCCCCTTTCCCTTTATTTAAAAAGGGGGCTATACATGCCCCCCGCCCCCCCTCCCCCAGGTAAACCCTTTCCCCCCTTTTTTTTACATTTTTTGAAAAAAAAGTAACCCAAAAACTTCCCAAAATATATCCCCCCCTCTTTTAACCATTTCTGTCAGATCCCTTTTGTAACCCGCTGCTTTTTCCCCCTTTTATTTTTTTTTAATGCCTCCCGTACCTCCCCCCCACTTTTAAATTTGTTTTTTTCTTCACTCCTAAAAAATGGGATACCTCCCTGGGGCCAAATGCATGAAAAATTTCTTTCCTCCCGTTCTTCCCTTAAATTTAAAAGTTCCTTTAAAAAAATTCTCGCCAAACTACCTTTAAAACCTCCTTTTCCCCATCACTAACCCCCTACTCTGTTTTTTAAATGACAATCCATTTTTTCCCTTGGCCCTTTTTTAACTTGTTTAACTTTACTCCAAAATTTTTCTTATTTTCATTAAAATTTCTTGAACCCGTGCCTCTCCCACTCTTTATTGCTCTCCTTTTGCACTCTCTCACCACTTTCTTTACCCTTTCCCTTTTTCTCCCCCCATATATTCCGGGTCTTCTTTTTTTAAAAAAACTTCTGCTTTTTAAAAACCTCTCCCTAAGCTTAAACCCCCTTTTTTCCACCCTTTTCTTTTTCATTTTAAACCTTCACTCTTTTTTCCTCCTGCAAACCCCCCTCCTATAACCACAAAAATTCTTTCCCCCCATTCTAATTTCTTGCATTTTTAAAACTTTCCCCCCCCTCTTCAACCCCCCCTACTCCCTCTTTGCACTTTTCCCACCTTTTTGCCCAAAAGTCGCTTTTATCTCACCCGAACTTTCCCTCCTCCCTTAGTTTATACACTTTTACCTCCCCCTTTCTTGTTTTTGCCACCTTCCTCTTTTCCCCTCCCACCTCTTTTTTTTTAAATGTTTGCTTCAACTAAATAATGATCCATATATCAGTTTCCCCTCTATAAACCCTTTTACAAACCTGGAGCCTTTCCACAACCTTTTTTCCACAATAAAAATCTAATAAACTACTTTTCCCTTACGTGCTTTCATATACCTTGTTTTATTTATTTAAACCTCTTTTTCATAAAATTGGATTACTTATTACCAAATTTCTTTCTACACATAGCTCAATTAAAGGCTCCCCATTTACATTTACCCCTGTTCTTGTTCTTGTTTATTTCCTCTTATCTCCATGGGGAAGTGGACAGAATTCTCCTTCCCTAAGCCATGCGTGTTGTAAGAGGCGACTAAAATGCCGGGGGCAAGGGGCTAGTAACCCCTTCTCTTATATAAATTACTAACTTTAGAAAGAGAAACATTTGTTTTTCTTTTTGGGCCACCCTGCCTTGGTGGGATACGACCAGTTTGTTGAAAAAAAAAATTAGTAAGTTGAGAAAGCTTAGGGAAAGAATGGATTTGTTAGCTGAAAATAGGAGAGGAGAGTTATTAAATGGAGAGTTAGAGGTACCAGGAAGATGGAGGGAATATTTAGAGGAATTGTTAAATGTTGAGGAAGATAGGTAAGCTGTGATTTCGAATATAGGGTAAGCAGGAATAACATCTTATAGGAGTGAGAAATAGGTAGTAGGTTGGTAAACAGCAGCCACCCAGGGAAGTACTACCGTCCTGCCAAGTGAGTGTAAAATGAAAGCCAGTAATTGTTTTACACGATGGTAGGATTGCTGGTGTCTTTTTATTCTGTCTCATAAACATTCAAGATTTCTGGTACGTCTTGCTACTTCTACTTACACTTAGGTCACACTACACATACATGTACAAGCATATATATACACACCCCGCTGGGTTTTCTTCTATTTTCTTTCTAGTTCTTGTTCTTGTTTATTTCCTCTTACCTCCATGGGGAAGTGGAACAAAATTCTTCCTCTGTAAGCCAAGCGTGTTGTAAGAGGTGACTAAAATGCCGAGAGCAAGGGGCTAGTAACCTCTTCTCCCGTATATATTACTAAATGTAAAAGGAGAAACTTTCGTTATTCCTTTTGGGCCACCCCACCTAGGTGGGATACAGCCGGTGTGTTGGAAGAAAAAAGGAAAAATATTCATTTTTCCTTTTAGGCCACCCGGCCTCGGTGGGATATGGCCGATGTGTTGAAAGAAAGAAGAAAGAAACATGCAAGATTTCAGGTACATCTTGCTACTTCTACTTACACTTAGGTCACACTACACATACATGTATAAGCATATATATACACACCCCTCTGGGTTTTCTTCTATTTTCTTTCTAGTTCTTGTTCTTGTTTATTTCCTCTTACCTCCATGGGTAAGTGGAACAGAATTCTTCCTCCGTAAGCCATGCGTGTTGTAAGAGGCAGCTAAAATCCCAGGAGCAAGGGGCTAGTAACCCCTTCTCCTGTATAAATTACTAAATTTAAAACGAAAAACTTTTGTTTTTCTTTCTGGGCCACCCTGACTCGGTGGGATACAGCCAGTTCATTGAAAGGAGGAATTAGGAAAAACCAGTTGTGAGTGTGGGGGAAGTGTGTGGGGCAGTGAGTAGAATGAAAGGGGGTAAGGCAGCTAGGATTGATGAGATAAAGATAGAAATGTTAAAAGCAGGTGGGGATATAGTTTTGGAGTGGACAGCATTTTTATTTAATAAATGTATGGAAGAGGGTAAGGTACCTAGGGATTGGCAGGGAGCATGCATAGTTCCTTTGTATAAAGGCAAAGGGGACAAACGTGAGTGTAAAAATTATAAGGGAAGAAGTCTGTTGAGTGTACTTGGTAAAGCATATGGTAGAGTTATTATTGAGAGAATTATGAGTAAGACGGAGAGCAGGATAGCAGATGAACAAGGAAGCTTTAGGAAAGGTAGGGGGTGTTTAGACCAAGTGTTTGCAGTGAAACACATAGGTAAACAGTATTTGGATAAAAGTAAAGAGATTTTTGTGGCATTTATGGATTTGGAAAAGGCATATGATAGGGTGGATAGGGGGGCAATATGGCAAATGTATGGAATAGCAGGTAGGTTACTGAAGGCAGTGAAAAGTTTTTACGAGGATAGTGAGGCTCAGGTTAGAGTATGTAGGCAAGAGGGGGGATTATTTCCCAGAAAAAGTAGGCCTTAGACAGGGATGTGTGATGTCACCATGGTTGTTCAATATATTTATAGATGGAATAGCAAGAGAAGCGAATGCTTGGGTGTTGGCAAGAGGTGTGGGGTTAAAAGATAAAGAACCTAACACAAAGTGGGAGTTGTCACAGCTGCTCTTTGCTGATGGCACTATGCTGTTGGGAGATTCTGAAGAAGTTGCAGAGGTTGGTTGATGAGTTTGGTAGGGTATGTAAAAGAAGGAAGTTAAAAGTGAATATAGGAAAGAGTAAGGTGATGAGGACAAACAAAAAAAATTATGTAATGGAAGATTGGATATCAGATTGGAGGGAGAGAGTATGGAGGAGGTGAATGTATTCAGATATTTGGAAGTGGACATGTCAACAGATGGATCTATGAAGGATGAGGGTAATCATAGAATTGATGAGGGAAAAAAGGTGAGTAGTGCACTGAGGAGTCTGTGGAGACAAAGAACTTTATCCATGACAACAAAGAAGGAAATGTATGAAAGTACAGTTATACCAACACTCTTGTATGGATGTGAGGTATGGGTTGTGAATGTTGCAACAAGAAGGCTGGAGGCAGTGGAGATGTCATGTCTGAGGGCAATGTGTGGTGTGAATATAATGCAGAGAATTCATAGTTTGGAGACTAGGAGGAGGTGTAGGATTACCAAAACTATTATCCAGAGGGCTGAGGAGGGGTTATTGAGATGGTTTGGACATGCAGAGGATGGAACAAAATAGAATGACTTCGAGAGTATACAAATCTGTAGTGGAGGGAAGGCGGGGTTGGTGTCGGCCTATGAAAGGTGAAGGAGTGGGTAAAGGAGGCTTTGTGTGCGAGGGGCTTGGACTTCCAGCAAGTGTGTGTGAGCGTGTTAGACAGGAGCGAATGGAGACAAATGGCTTTTAGGGCTTGACATGCTGTTGGAGCGTAAGCAAGGTAACATTTATGAAGGGATTCAGGGAAACCGGCAGGCAGGACTTGAGTCCTGGAGATGGTAAGTACAGTGTCTGCACTCTGAAGGAGGGGTGTTAATGTTGCAGTTTTATAACTGTAGTGTAGGCAAGACAGTAATGGAGTGAATGATTAACCTTTTCTTTTTCGGGCCACCTTGCCTTGGTGGGAAAAGGCCAATGTGTTAATAATAATAAAAATTACACACCATATGATTATCCATTAGAGTAACTACAAGATCAATCTTCCTAATATCTACAATAAAAAAATAGAGAAAATTAAAACAAACTTAGGAAAAAATTCACTTTTACCTCTGCACTGAGTTTTAGATGTAGAGGTACAATTTTCCTCATCACTACCATCTCGGCAATCATCTTCCATATCGCACACCCAGTTGGTATGGATGCAACGACCATTTTTGCATCTGGTAATTGAAAAGAAAAAAAAAAGACTAATTTTATTTATTACCATCTCTAAAAAAGTTTTTGTCACCCTGCCTCGGTGGGAGACGGCCGACTTGTTGAAAAAAAAAAAAAAAAAAAAAAAAAAAAAAAAAAAAAAAAGTTTTGTATCAGTCTGATGTTTACAATGTTGATATTAATTTGAAAGAAGACAAAATGCTATATTAATGAGCTATAAAATATTAAGACAGATGCTCATGCTATGCAAATCCCGCTTATGTATTTGTCTAACCAATTTTTTAAATATGCTTAAATTATTATATATACCAAAATGTATCAAACCTGCAGAGCTACCCAAAGTATTTCCTTCAATGTTGGTATCTGGCAATTTTTAAATTGTTTAGCTCAATAAATTTTTTTTTTTTTTTTTCAACAAGTCGGCCGTCTCCCACCGAGGCAGGGTGACCCAAAAAAGAAAGAAAATCCCCAAAAAGAAAATACTTTCATCATTCAACACTTTCACCACACTCGCACATTATCACTGTTTTTGCAGAGGTGCTCAGAATACAACAGTCTAGAAGCATACACATATAAAGATACACAACATATCCCTCCAAACTGCCAATATCCCAAACCCCTCCTTTAAAGTGCAGGCATTGTACTTCCCATTTCCAGGACTCAAGTCGACTATATGAAAATAACCGGTTTCCCTGAATCCCTTCACTAAATATTACCCTGCTCACACTCCAACAGATCGTCAGGTCCCAAGTACCATTCGTCTCCATTCACTCCTATCTAACACGCTCACGCACGCTTGCTGGAAGTCCAAGCCCCTTACCCACAAAACCTCCTTTACCCCTCTCTCCAACCCTTTCGAGGACGACCCCTACCCCGCCTTCCTTCCCCTATAGATTTATATGCTTTCCATGTCATTCTACTTTGATCCATTCTCTCTAAATGACCAACCACCTCAACAACCCCTCTTCTGCCTCTGACTAATACTTTTATTAACTCCACACCTTCTCCTAATTTCCACACTCCGAATTTTCTGCATAATATTTACACCACACATTGCCCTTAAACAGGACATCTCCACTGCCTCCAACCGTCTCCTCGCTGCTGCATTTACCACCCAAGCTTCACACCCATATAAGAGTGTTGGTACTACTATACTTTCATACATCCCTTCTTTGCCTCCATAGATAACGTTTTTTGACTCCACATATACCTCAACGCACCACTCACCTTTTTTCCCTCATCAATTCTATGATTAACCTCATCCTTCATAAATCCATCCGCCGACACGTCAACTCCCAAGTATCTGAAAACATTCACTTCTTCCATACTCCTCCTCCCCAATTTGATATCCAATTTTTCTTTATCTAAATCATTTGACACCCTCATCACCTTACTCTTTTCTATGTTCACTTTCCAACTTTCTACCTTTACACACATTCCCAAACTCATCCACTAACCTTTGCAATTTTTCTTTAGAATCTCCCATAAGCACAGTATCATCAGCAAAAAGTAACTGTGTCAATTCCCATTTTGAATTTGATTCCCCATAATTTTAATCCCACCCCTCTCCCAAACACCCTAGCATTTACTTCCTTTACAACCCCATCTATAAATATATTAAACAACCATGGTGACATTACACATCCCTGTCTAAGACCTACTTTTACCGGGAAGTAGTCTCCCTCTCTTCTACACACCCTAACCTGAGCCTCACTATCCTCATAAAAACTCTTTACAGCATTTAATAACTTACCACCTATTCCATATACTTGCAACATCTGCCACATTGCTCCTCTATCCACTCTATCATATGCCTTTTCTAAATCCATAAATGCAATAAAAACTTCCCTATCTTTATCTAAATACTGTTCACATATATGCTTCAATGTAAACACCTGATCTACACATCCCCTACCCACTCTAAAACCTCCTTGCTCATCCGCAATCCTACATTCTGTCTTACCTCTAATTCTTTCAATTATAACCCTACCGTACACTTTTCCTGGTATACTCAGTAAGCTTATTCCTCTATAATTTTTACAGTCTCTTTTGTCCCCTTTCCCTTTATATAAAGGGACTATACATGCTCTCTGCCAATCCCTAGGTACCTTCCCCTCTTTCATACATTTATTAAACAAAAGTACCAACCACTCCAACACTATATCCCCCCCTGCTTTTAACATTTCTGTCATGATCCCATCAGTTCCAGCTGCTTTACCCCCTTTCATTTTACGTAATGCCTCACGTACCTCCCCCACACTTACATTCTGCTCTTCTTCACTCCTAAAAGATGGTATACCTCCCTGACCAGTGCATGAAATTACTGCCTCTGTTTCTTCCTTAACATTTAAAAGTTAATATATCATACTACATTTTTAATAGCATTTACTGGGAAAATACCAAAACTTTGATATACCTTTGAAGAGTTTCGAAAGTTAATCTACTCTAGGAGCCCAGCCATGGACCAGGCTCGTCTGGTGCTTGCCTGGTCAACCAGGCTGTTGCTACTGGAGGCCTGCTGCCCCACATTTCCATCACAGCCTGGTTGATCTGGCACCTGGTGAAGATACTTCTCCAGTTTCCTCTTGAAGGCTTCTACACTTGTCCCAGCTGTGTTTCTAATATCTTTCTGGTAAGATGTTGAATAGGGAGGGCGTAAAGGAGGTTTTGTGTGCGAGGGGCTTAGCATCCAGCAAGTGTGTGTGAGCGTGTTAGATAGGAGTGGAGCCAAGTGTTTTTTTTATGATTTCACATGCTATTGGAATATGAGCAAAGTAACATTTATGAAGGGATTAAAGGAATCTGCTGGGGCTGTTTGCAATTTTGAACTGTAGTTTCAGCACCCCTCTGGCAAGACAGTGATGGAGTGAGCAATGATGAAAGTGTTTCTTCTTTTTTTGGGTCACCCCTGCCTGGGTGGGAGATGGACGGTTAAAAAAAATGAGAAAAAAAAAAAGAATTCTTACTTGTGTGTATTTTGTGGGCAATCTTCATACATGCAATCAACCTCATCTGAATCATCACCACAGTCATTATCATAATCACAGCGCCAACTTGGAGCAATGCAGTGGCCATTCGCACACTGCCAAGATGGTGGGTCACACGATTTTTCTCCACACTCGGGCTTCATCTGAAATGCGTAAATGTTTACACCCTCAAGGCAGAACACAACAAGGGCAAAGTGAAGGAACAGCATGGAAACTATCAGATTTGTTGAGTTTTTTGTTCCTGACATGACCATGTGTCACCTTGCTGGACATTGGCAAAGCTATTTTCTGTAATGTGAACACAACCTGTGAGGTCACTCTTGTCGAGTTCCCTTTAATAAACTTCTTTTTTTTTACTTGAGAACTACCACTAAACAAAACTTGGACAAAGCATCTAATAACAGCTTTTGCATAGTAAATAATGCAATATTACTTTCTGAATTTGAGAGAAATTTACCATTTATAAGACAAGAACATAAGAAAGAAGGAACACTGCAGCAGGCCTACTGGCCCATGCAAGGCAGGTCCATGTGAGCAAGTAGCTCACCTCATCAGTATAATCTCCACAATCATCATCTTTATCACAGACCCACTGGCTGGGAATGCACCTTCCGTTGCCACACATGAAGAAGTGCTGAGGACAAGTACTGTTCACAGATTTGCAGGTTCCATTTTCTTGTATAGGAGAGCCATCAGGGCACTTACACTCTTCAATATAACCTGAACTTGTTATCTGGCAACAAAATAATTAACATCTAAATTATAGTAAGTGCTACAACCACTAGATATTTAAAGCTACATTTTTTTTTTTTAACAAGTCGGCCGTCTCCCACCGAGGCAGGGTGACCCAAAAAGAAAGAAAATATCCAAAAAGAAAATATTTTCATCATCATTCAACACTTTCACCTTACTCACACAATCACTGTTTTTGCAGAGGTGCTCAGAACACAACAGTTTAGAAGCATATACGTATATACACAACATATCCCTCCAAACTGCTAATATTCCAAACCCCTCCTTTAGAGTGCAGGCATTGTACTTCCCATTTCCAGGACTCAAGTCCGGCTATATAAAAATAACCAGTTTCCCTGAATCCCTTCACTAAATATTACCCTGCTCACACTCCAACAGATCATCAGGTCCCAAATACCACTCGTCTCCATTCACTCCTATCTAACATGCTCATGCACGCCTGCTGGAAGTCCAAGCCCCTTGACCACAAAACCCTCCCTTACCCCTTCCTTCCAACCTTTTCGAGGACGACCTCTACCCCGCCTTCCTTCCCCTACAGATTCATAAGCTCTCCATGTCATTCTACTTTGATCCATTCTCTCTAAATGACCAAACCACCTCAACAATCCCTCTTCAGCCCTCTGACTAATACTTTTATTAACTCCACACCTCCTAATTTCCACACTCCGAATTTTCTGCATAATATTTACACCACACATTGCCCTTAGACACGACATCTCCACTGCCTCTAACCGCCTCCTCGCTGCTGCATTCACAACCCAAGCTTCACACCCATATAAGAGTGTTGGTACTACTATACTTTCATACATTCCCTTCTTTGCCTCCATAGATAACGTTTTTTTGTCTCCACATATACCTCAACGCACCACTCACCTTTTTCCCCTCATCATTTCTATGATTAACCTCATCCTTCATAAATCCTTCTGCCGACATGTCAACTCCTGATTATCTGAAAACATTCACTTCCTCCATACTCCTCCTCCCCAATTTGATATCTAATTTTTCTTTATCTAAATCATTTGATACCCTCATCACCTTACTCTTTTCTATGTTCACTTTCAACTTCCTACCTTTACACACACTCCCAAACTCATCCAATAACCTTTGCAATTTTTCTTTAGAATCTCCCATAAGCACAATATCAACAGCAAAAAGCAACTGTGTCACTTCCCATTTTGTATTTGATTCCCCAAAATTTAATCCCACCCCTCTCCCGAACACCCTAGCATTTACTTCCTTTACAACCCAATCTATAAATATATTAAACAACCATGGTGACATTACACATCCCTGTCTAAGACCTACTTTTACTGGGAAGTAGTCTCCCTCTCTTCTACACACCCTAACCTGAGCCTCACTATCCTCATAAAAACTCTTTACAGCATTTAGTAACTTACCACCTATCCCATATACACCTACCATCCGACTTACGACCGAGTTCGGTTCCGAGAAACCGGTCGTAAGTTGAAATGGTTGTAAGTCGAGCTTTACTACTGAATATCAACAAAACATTTTTGTAATGACTTCATTTTATTGTTTTATTTTGGTATTTCAGGTTTTACTTTACTTTTTATGCTGTTAGTACTGTATTTTATACTGTAAGGTTTAGGATAAACACTGTGTACAACACAAATAGTTGTTTATTTCCCAGAAGTTTGGCATAAAAAACACGGTCGTAAGTTGAGTGGTCGTAAGTCGAGCAGGTCTTAAGTCGGATGGTAGGTGCACTTGCAACATCTGCCACATTGCTCCCCTATCCATTCTATCATGCCTTTTCTAAATCCATAAATGCAATAAAAACTTCCCTACCTTTACCTAAATACTGTTCACATATATGCTTCAATGTAAACACTTGATCTACACATCCCCTACCCACTCTGAAACCTCCTTGCTCATCCGCAATCCTACATTCTGTCTTACCTCTAATTCTTTCAATTATAACCCTACCATACACTTTTCCAGGTATACTCAGTAAACTTATTTCTCTATAATTTTTACAATCTCTTTTGTCTCCTTTCCATTTATATAAAGGGACTAAACATGCTCTCTGCCAATCCCTAGGTACCTTCCCCTCTTTCATACATTTATTAAACAAAAATACCAACCACTCCCAACACTATATCCCCCTCCTGCTTTTAACATTTCTGCTATGATCCCATCAGTTCCAGCTGCTTTACCCCCTTTCATTCTACGTAATGCCTCACGCACCTCCCCCACACTCACAGCCTGTTCCTCACTCCTACAAGATGTTATACCTCCCTGGACAGTGCATGAAATTACCGTTTCCCTTTCTTCGTCAACATTTAAAATTTCCTCAAAATATTCTCGCCATCTACCCAAAACCTCCCTCTCCCCATCTACTAACTTCACTACTCTGTTTTTAACTGACAAATCCATTTGTTCTCTAGGCTTTCTTAACTTGTTTAACTCACTCCAAATTTTTTTCTTATTTTCATTAAAATTTCCTGACAGTGCCTCTCCCACTCTATCATCTGCTCTCCTTTTGCACTCTCTCACCACTCTCTTCATCTTTCTTTTACTCTCCATATACTCTACTCTTCTTATAACACTTCTGCTTTGTAAAAGCCTCTCATAAGCTAACTTTTTCTCTTTTATCACACCCTTTACTTCATCATTCCACCAATCACTCCTCTTTCCTCCTGCACCCACCCTCCTATAACCACCAACTTCTGCCCCACATTCTAATACTTCATTTTTAAAACTATTCCAACCCTCTTCAACCCCCCCACTACTCATACTTGTACCAGCCCATCTTTCTGCCAATAGTTGCTTATACCTCACCCAAACTTCCTTCTCCCTTAGTTTATACACTTTCACCTCTTGAGACTAAACACTTAAGATGAAACAAAATGATCATAGCTGCTCTTGTAGCTATTAACACTTAAACTGTCCAAACAGATCTATGTTCACATGCGTAGTGCTCCAAAAGTACATCTACGTTTTTTACATATTTTCAAACATAACAAAAAAAAAAACGTAGATCAAAGTTTTTTTTACGTTTTCAAATGTAAAAAATAAAAAGAAGCTCTACTTTTTTTACATACTTTCAAATGTTGAAAAAACGCAGATCTACGTTTGGACAGTTTAAGGGTTAATAGGTAATTACAAATACAAAAAAATAAATGATAATGGTCTCATAAGAGAGCATGATGTTAATTGAAAACAAGTTCTACCACCCAAGGATAATGCCAGTATCATCAGCAAAAAGTAATTGTGTCAACTCCCATTTTGTATTTGATTCCCCAGCTATAAATATGTTAAACAACCATGGTGACATTACATATCCCTGTCTAAGACCTACTTTTATTGGGAAGTAATTTCCCTCTTTCCTACACACCCTAACCTGAGCCTCACTATCCTCATAACTCTTTACAGCATTTAGTAACTTATTACCTATTCCATTTATATTCCTTATTTTCCTGCCATAACTTATCCTTCAACATTACTGCCACTCCTTTCTTAGCTCTAACTCTATTAGAAACCCCTCACCTAATACCATTTATTTCCCCCCACTGAAACCCTCCTACCCCCTTCAGCTTTGTTTCACTTAGAGCCAGGACATCCAGCTTCTTTTCATTCCTAACATCCACAATCATCTCTTTCTTATCATTTGCACTATATCAATGCACATTCAAACATCCCACTTTGATGGTTTTCATTTTCTTTTTAGTAAGCTATACGGGAATAGGGGTTACTAGCCCATTGCTCCCGGCATTTTAGTTGACTTTTACAACATGTATGGCTTACGGAGGAAAGATTCTTATTCCGCTTCCCCATGGATAGGGTAAAAAGCAAAATATCTAATGATGTTAGATAAAATTAATTTACTGATACACACCTTCATACCATCTGGGCAGAGGCATGCAAACTGGTTGTTAGGACGGCCCATGCAGAGGTGGGAACAGCCTGTAGTCTGGTTCCTGTGAGTAAGTTATAAAAAGATTAAAGGCTCAAATCTTAATAAAAAAAAATGAAAACACAATTACAGTACTGAACATGTCCAGTATACCACAGCAGCTACCAAAGCCCAATTGAACACCTTATGAAAATTGTAACCATTAAATTCATGGCTTTTTGTCCATCTTTATACCTGTATAAAATGAAAACACACAGTATTGATACTTTGAGAAAAATCTAAGAAAAATAAATTGTTTGAGTATTTGTAATGACTGTAACTGCAGCTCAGTGTTTGTAAATATTTAATAAGTTTTAAACTGCAAATGTTGTAAGTGAAAAATGTCTTAGGTCAGATCATAAACAGGACTGTTTATCTCATGGCCATAACCAGAAGGATAAATCAATGAAATTTAAGATCTTAGAGTATACGTAAATGAAAACTCTGATTTAATCTTTTAAATACTGTAGTTATATCCCCTTGACACTCACCCACAGCTGTTGTTGCCCACTTGAGACAAATGACCAAACACCTTAAGGTCAACAAGCCCCTTTTTTGTAAGGTTTGCAATTGGAGCAATTCCCCATCCAAATTCTTTGTCAGCCTGTAGTACCTGGTATACCGTCCAATCATCCCAATAGACTGTTGACTTATATATCCCCAAAGCAAAAGGTTGCATCACTTTATCCTGCAATACCAAACAATTACACTTCACATTAAGTACAGTACACATAATAAATACTGTCTTGTTAAAATTTTACATACAGGAAATCTAGATACTACAATCTCTATGTATTAAATATTTCAATTTAACAGCACTTAATGAATTACTGAATTATAGTACTTGATATCATAGAATACATGAGACAATCACATTTCATCAGGAAAACATGACAATCATGGTTTTAGGTTATTGAACCAAAATCAATTTAAGAGATGTCTCAACTAATGGCACCATTTAAGCAAATACAATGCCTTGAGCCTAGGCTACTAAAAAATTGGAAATATTCATCATTCTTTCAATAGATGTCTTGCTAAAAGTTTGCAGAGGTCTCAGTTTAAATGGCCCTCCAAACTATAACATCTCCTCCACTCTAGAGGACTGGTGGCACTGTACTTATCACTTCCAGCACTGCAGTCTGGCTAAATGGCTTCCCCAAATTCCTTTATAAATGTTTCACTGATAGCACTCCCACAGCACGTCAAATCTTGTGTCTCCACTCACTTCAATCCAACATGCTCACATATGCTTAATGGATGCTCCACTTAAAATGTCCTTCACATCCTCCTCTAGATACAAGGAGAATGGAATAAGCAAGTAAGAGAGAGGTGAAGGTTTATAAACTACAGGAGGAGGGCAGTTAGGGTAAGATATAAACAACTATTGGAAGAAAGATGGGCTAATGAGAGTACAGGCAATGAGGCTAAAGAGGTATGGGGTAGATTTAAAAATGTAGTGTTAGAGTGTTCAGCAGAAGTTTGTGGTTACAGGAAAGTGGGTGCAGGAAGGAAGAAGAGCAATTGATAGAATGATGAAGTAGAGTAATAAGAGAGAAAAAGTTAGCATGTGAGAGGTTTTAACAAAAGTGATACAAGGAGAGAGGAGTATATGGAGAGAAAAAGAGAGGTTAAGACAGTGGTGAATGAAGATAAAAGGAGAGCAAATGAGAGTGGGTGAGATGCTATCAACAAATTCTGCTGAAAATAAGAAAAAGTTTTGGAGTGAGATTAATAAGTCGAGCAAGTCTAGAAAAATAGATCTGACAGTTAAAAATACGAGAGGAAAGCTGTTAGATGGAGACTTACAGGTATCAGGAAGATGGAGGGAATATTTTGAGGAACTGTTGAATGTTGATAAAGACAGGGAAGCTATAATTTCATGCACTGGACAGGGAAGTATAACATCCTGTAGGAGTGAGGACGAGCTAACTGTGAGTGTGGGGGAGGTGCACGAGGCAGTGGGTAAAATGAAAGGGGGTAAAGCAGCCAGGACTGATGGGATAAAAACAGAAACGTTAAAAGCAGGTGGGGATATAGTTTCGGAGTGACTGGTGCTTTTATTTAATAAATGTATGGAAGAGGGTAAGGTACCTAAGGGTTGGCAGACAGCATGCATAGTTCTTTTGTATAAAGGCAAAGGGGACAAAAGAGAGTAAAAATTATAGGGGAATAAGCCTGTTGATTACACCTAGTAAAGTGAATGGTAGAGTTATTATTGAAAAAAATTAAGAATAAGATGGAGAGCAGGATCGCAGATGAACAAGGAGGGTTTAGGAAGGGTAAGGGGTGTGTAGACCAAGTGTTTACAGTGAAACACACACATGAACAGTATTTAGATAAAAGTAAAGAGGTTTCTGTTGCATTTATAGATTTGGTAAAGGAATATGATAGGGTGTTAATAATAAAAAAAATTTTTGTTACTCTCATTACCTTGCTCATTTCTATATCAACTTTCAATTCCCATCTTTTACACACCCTCCCAAACTCGTCCACTACCTTTGCAATTTCTCTTCAGATTCTCCCAAAACATCTGTCAATGGAGAAGAGCAATTATGATAACTCTTCTTTCTTTCTTTCAACACACCGGCCGTATCCCACCGAGGCGGGGTGGCCCAAAAGAAAAAAACCTAAGTTTCTCCTTTCAAATTTAGTAATATATACAGGAGAAGGGGTTACTAGCCCCTTGCTCCCGGCATTTGAGTCGCCTCTTACAACACGCATGGCCTACGGAGGAAGAATTCTGTTCCACTTCCCCATGGAGATAAGAGGAAATAAACAAGAACAAGAACTAGAAAGAAAATAGAAGAAAACCCAGAGGGGTATGTATATATACGCTTGTACATGTATGTGTAGTGTGACCTGAATGTAAGTAGAAGTAGCAAGACGTACCTGAAATTTTGCATGTTCATGAGACAGAAAAATGGACACCAGCAATCCTACCATCATGTAAAACAATTGCAGGCTTTCGTTTTACACTCACTTGGCAGGACGGTAGTACCTCCCTGGGCGGTTGCTGCCTACCAACCTACTACCTAGGATGATAACTCTTATTTCCATAAATTCATCATCATTTAATCCCACACCTCTTCAAAACAACCTAGTATTCATTTCTTTTACATTCCAATCTATAAAAATATTAAACCCCATTGCTGACATCACACATCCTAAGGCCTGCTTTTAAAAACTGGAAATTAGCCCCTTCTCTCCTACAGACCCTATCCTGAGTCTCACTCTCCACAATTTTTTTTCTGCTTACAGTAAACTACAGGTTGGCCATCACTAATCCGGCATCATTGGGACCTGTAGGGTACTGGATTAGTGATTTTGCCGGATTACAGAGTGGTTAGCGATTTCATCCACTTTACACCCTCTTTTTGGCCCATTCGATTATTCCAGTCTACCAAACTTATAGCTATTTCACTAGTATTCCTTCTATTCTGTTAAATGAGTACAAGAAACCACCCATTCACCTATTTCAACTATCCAATAAAGTGGTCAGAAATTGATAATTTGACCAATTTCACACAATTTTCAAAAGATACCAATCTCAAAATAGGGTCCAGAATAAACAATGCAGACATTCCTAGAACTAAAATAACATTTTCTCTGTTCATTAGTCATGTCTCCAGGCCCCTCTTATACAGTGGATCCCCGCATAACGATCACCTCCGAATGCGACCAATTATGTAAGTGTATTTATGTAAGTGCGTTTGTACGTGTATGTTTGGGGGTCTGAAATGGACTAATCTACTTCACAATATTCCTTATGGGAACAAATTCGGTCAGTACTGGCACCTGAACATACTTCTGGAGTGAAAAAATATCGCTAACCGGAGGCCCACTGTATTATGCTTGCTTTCCATTTTGAATTTTCATTCACACAACAAACAGAAGATTTACTGTTATGCAGACTACTGCATTATTGCAATAATTGTATAAATAATGTCAACACATTTGTGACTGCGTATTGGACTGGCCCGTTGGATATGCATTGGACAGTGACTTCATTTGTTTACTCTTGAATATCAGCAACAATTGAACATTTCCGCTAATTTCAGCTCAATTTTAAGGTACTTTACGAAGTGAAACCAATCAAAATTATAACTATTTCTGTAATATATCTTCCATTCTATCAAATGAGACCAAAAAAAATGAGAATACAACCATACAAACCATTTGAAAGTACCCCCCAAAGTCGAGGTTTCCACCATAAACACGGTCACAGTTTTTTTCTCATTATGCACTGCGTGCTGCAGGATTTTTTTATATTGTGTACACTTACCACACAGACCTATTCTCTCATATGTAGGCCCAAATTTACCAGTCACAGCTTATCTGAGTGAGCTGAGCTCATAGTGACCAACAGTGGCTTCAAAGCCACCTTATCTTACATGGACAATGTACGGTGTATGTGCTTTACACAATGAGGAGCATTTTTTTTATTCATTGGAACCATGGCTAGGGCTAAAAGTGAGTAGGTTATAACAATAAATGTAGAAAAACAAATTGAAATGACTTATGCAGCAAGTTCCATCACCAAACAGTAGCGGCCGGTTGGTGTGGCAACCCCAAAAATCTTAGTTATGCTAGCCGAAATTAGTGCTGGATTACTGATCAAACTGGATTACTGATTGCCAGACTAGTGATCCCAACCTGTACTACCTATTCCAAACATTTGCAACACCTGCCACATTTCCCTTCCTATCCACCCTAATCCTATGTTTCTTTCTAAATCCATGAGTGTGGCAAGTAGCTGCTGACCGTTATCAAAATATTATCATTTGAATATTTCAATGGAAACATTTTGTTTACACATTCCCTGCTCTTCCTAAATCCTCCTTTTCTTCTTATTGTCTCTCCTTTTGAACTTCCTCACCACTCTTCTTTCCTCTCTGTCCATATATTCTGCCTACCAGTCATCATTTTTATATTCTACGAAAGTCTCATACACAACAAGTAACCATCTCAGACCACTAATTACCCAACAAAAGGCTGCAGTTAGAATGATAACAAATTCTCACTACAGGCAGCACACTCCACCAATATTCAATACACTCAACCTACTCACCATACAAAACATCCATACTTATTACTGCACCTATTACATACATAGAACACTCAACTCTGATATTAACCCTCCCCTCAAACATCTCCTTGCCAACCTCAACAGAACACATGACCATAACACAAGGCACAGATCACTCTTTGATATTCCTCGTGTCCATCTCACGCTATGCAAAAACTCAATGCACATAAAAGGCCCTAAAATCTGGAATTCATTACCTGTAAATATAAAAGAAACACTACCTGTTTATAAATTCAAGTCTCTTCTCAAAGATCACTTACTCACCCAAAACCAAATAAATACTGAATAACTGAACCTTATAAATTGTATATCTTAAATGTTTCTCACAATTATATCACATAAATGTTAAACCTAAAACCCAATCTAACTTTATTATTTTTTAAATTCACTACCTAACAGAATACTCCATTCTACTGAATTTACAACAATGCATGCAACCATATGACCTGTCTTTGTAATACTCACTTGTGCTTTATAGTAATCAGTTTACATTAATGTTTTTCACTGATTTCATCATTGCTTAGTTAATCTTAAGTTAATTTTAAGCCAGCCCGTAATGCTATGCATAGTATAAGTGGCTTTGGCATGCTGCTCTTATCTGTATTTTTTTTTGTACCTCTGTAAGTGTGCTCAAATTATAAATAAATAAATAAATAAATAAATAAAAATGTTTTCTCCTTCCCATCCTTTATGTTTTCATTCCACTAATCATTCCTCATCCCAACCACACCCACCCACTTATAACCACAAACTTCTGCTGCACATTAACACTGCATTCTTAAATCTACCCCACAGCTCTTTGACTGCACTGCCTTTATTATCTCTAGCCCATGCTCTCTCTACTAACAGTTACTTGTAACTCCCACTGTCTCCTTCAGGTCATTCACTGCCCTTTCTCAAAAAACACACACATCCATAAGTCTACCCATCATCTTTTCATTCAACAATTCATAGTCTATACACACAATACAGTGAAGTCAAGAGTAGGCTTTATCAAGTATAGTACACAGCACAATGCTAAAAACCAACTTTTGAGTGAAACAAACCAATAAAGACTTCACTGTCCTGCATGCCTGGTTATGGACCATGCCACAGGGCACAGATACCTCCACATAGGTTCAAATCTCATACAGTTATTTATCGTCCTTCTTATAATACAAATTATGCACTAGAAAATTTAGTTTATACAGCTAAACTAAAACATTTGTATACAGAAATTAATAAAATCATTAATAAGAAATCACTTACACTATTAGTAATAATCTTCCTCATATGACGTCCATCCAGATCTGCTGATGCAATGTAGTCTAACCTAGCATCTGCAAAGAATATACGCTCTGTCTGGAAGTCAATGGTGATGCCGTTGGGCCAACCAACAGTACCAGCACCAAACAAAATCTGGGGAATAACACATGTTGTCTTTGTTAAGTTTAGAGATGACAAAGTTCTACAAATAACTGCAACAAGTAGATAATGAATCAATTACTGAACACTTAGTTCCCAACTCTGAATATGAGGTATACAAACCATCCAAGCAAAAAAGACTGCAGGTGTAACCTAATTTTTTTTTTTTTTTTTCAACAAGTTGGTCGTCTCCCACCGAGGCAGGGTGACCCAAAAAAGAAAGAAAATCCCCAAAAAGAAAATACTTTCATCATCATTCAACACTTTCACCACACTCACACATTATCACTGCTTTTGCAGAGGTGCTAATGTCTACAAATAAATCAGAAGCAATGTGAAACATGCATTAAGATCCAAGAACCCCCCTGCCACAAGGAAAAATATTCAACCCTAAATTCTTGAAAATGCCAAAAGACTAATAACCATAGTGTATTATTCTAACAGACATGTGGATACTGAACAGTAAGCAATGGGCTAGTAACCCCCTCTCCTGTAGAAAATGCCAAAAAAAAGAGATGAAGAAAAACTTTATAAAACTGGGATGCTTGAATGTGTGTGGATGATAAGAAAGAAATGATTGATAATGTTATGAATGAAAGGAAGTTGGATGCCCTAGCTCAAGTGAAACAAAGCTGAAGGGGGTAGGCGAGTTTCAGTGGGGAGAAATAAATGTGATAAAGTCAGGAGTATATGAGAGAGTTAGAGCTAAGGAAGGGGTAGCAATAATGTTGAAGGATCAGTTAAGAAAGGAGAAGAGGGAATATAAGTGTATAAATTCAAGGATTATGTGGATTAAAATAAAGGTCGCATTCAAAAATTGAGTCTTAATAAATTTGTGTGCACCTGGAGAAGAGTGTAGTGTAGAGATTATTATTATTATAATCAAAAAGAAGCGCTAAGCCACAAGGACTATACAGCAATATGTAGTGTAGAGAACAGAGAGAGACTGCTGGGAGACGTTAAGAAAGTGTGTACGAACTTTTGAACCAAGTGACGAACTTTTGAACCAAGTGAGAGTGATTGTGGTAGGGGACCTAAATGCTAAAGTAGGAGAAACATTTAAAGAGGGTGTGATAGGCAAGTTTGGGGTGCCAGGTATAAATGATAATGGTGGGCCCTTTGACTGAACTTTGCATAGAAAGGGGTTTGGCTATAGGTAATAGGTAATAAATATTGTGGGGCACAATGACAGTAGTTTGTTGGACTATGTACTGGTAGATAAAAGACTGTTGGGTAGACTTCAAGATGTACATGTTTATAGAGGGGCCACAGATATAATCAGATCACTTTTCAGTTGTAGCCACAGTGAGAGTAAAAGATATAGTGCCTGCAAAAAAAAATCGATACATGTCCAATGCAAAAAAAATCTATACACGAGATTTTGGTGCATACATTTCACTCGCGTTTCTGCCATAGGAAAACATTGATGATGCAGTGTACTGGACCCCGTCTTGCTCTATTGTTCCCAACCATGCCATGCTTCAGTGCTCTGGCAGAGCTCGGCGAAGAAGAATGCCTGCTAGTTGTTCCTCTGTGCCCCTTTTTCATGAACTTTGTCACGCTCTATCTCTGCTCTAAGTAATCAGAATGGGTCGAACTAAACTTTCAATTGCAGAGAAGACCCATGCACTCACCCTGTTAGAGCAAGGCATGTCTGTGATATGCATACCTGCAGACCTGAAGGTGATGAGGATGGCAATGTACAACCTCAAGAAAGCAGCTGCCTCATTCTCACCTGGCTTTTTCTTGAGGTCTGCAGCTGTTATGGCAAGATCTAATAACACTTCCCTCTTCAGGATCTTGTCTGTGCGAAGAGATATCTTTTTGGGTGGTATGGTGCCAGGTGGAAGTGAGATAGCCGCTTTCTTGAGGTTATAAACTGCCATCCTCGTTATCTTCAGGTCTGTGGCTACGCATATCACAGACATGCCCTATTCTAATAGGATGAGTGCAATGGTCTTCTCTGCAATTGAAAGTTTAGTTCGATCCATTCTGATCACTTGGAGCAGAAATAGAGCGTGACAACGTTCATGAAAAAGGGGCACAGAGGAACAACTAGCAGGCCATTCTTCCTCGCCGAGCTCTGGCAGAGCACTGAAGCATGGCATGGTTGGGAACAGTGGAGCAAGACGGGCTCCAGTATACTATGTCATCACACTTTTCCTATGGAGAAATTTTCTCCAGGAGGGGGGTATTAGCCCCCTTCAGCCCTGAGGGGCCCAGCCCTCTCAGAAGGGGCAAGTATCTTGTTTACTGCTGCAGCAAGTAATTGATCCCAGATGCAGTACAAGTATGTGACGTGGTCAAGCGACCGCCGCTCCTTGCAAGAGTCCAGTGTTACAAAGTGTAGTTTAATAAGAGACAGTCCATCTCTTACCTTAGCAGGACAATTAAGGAAAATCCTGCTCCCACTTTATTACCATGGTAAAGATTGTGTACATTGTTGTCTATGCTTAAGACAGCAAGAATCAAGCATTCTGCTTTGCTTCATGGAGGAAGTTTGGCAAGGAAGCAAAAAGTACTAGGTCAACTTTTCCTTTATGTTCTAGGGGCATTGCAGCGGCGTAGGACGCTGTGAGGTCAGATTACTTTTCACCCTACTGGGAGTCACACTGATGCCAGGATAACCAACGAAGAACACTGATCCGTGCGTTAGTGTGAACAAAGTGTCTCACAAAACACAAACACTTACAGGGAAGTGTGATCAGCTTCTTTAGTGATAAGATTGTGAACAATAAAGACAAACCTTGTGGAACAGTGTACCAGTGTGCATATTCCTGGACTATGGAAGACGTGGACATCCAAGGACACTTCAGCTTCTATCAAGTCACCGATACCTGTCGAGGCTGTAAAGAACACCATAGCTCATGCTACAAGAGCAAGGTAGGTTACGGATTTCTTGTAGTACAGGGGACTGAGCAGTTCTTGTGTCGCAAGGAGTTTGTAATCAACCTATAGTCGGCAGTGAGGTGTGGACTTTTGAGTTCACATAAGTAAGCATCGTCAGCAATCAGTGACTGATATATGCTGACATAACACCCCCTAGGGGTAATTTATAATCATACCTAATATACTCTGTTACAGCCCATTGTGAAGTGGTCAAGACAGCTTCTCAAGACCTTGCCTGCAGGGGCGGCTGTGTGGGCGATAGCTGTCTTATCCAGCTAAGTACCCCCCCTATATTTAATCTTTAACCTTAGCTGGTAAACCATTTCTCAATATTTCCTATGATGGAAATGCAAGTGAAATGTATGCACCAAAATCTCGTGTATAGATTTTTTTTTGCGATGGACATGTACAGATTTTTTTTTTTGCGGGCAATGTAGATGGGATACAAGGAAAATGGAAGCAGCAAGTAAGAGAGAGGTAAAGGTTTAAAAGCTAAATGAGGAGGCAGTTAGGGTAAGACATAAATAACTATTAGAGGACAGATGGGCTAGTGAGAATATTGGCAATGGGGTTGAAGATGTATGGGGTAGGTTTAAAAATGTAGTGTTAGAGTACCTGAAAGGAAGTGTTAGTGTGTTCAGAAGAAGTTTGTGGTTTCAAGAAAGTGGGTGCAGGAGGGAAGAAGAGCAATTGGTGGAATGATGATGTATAGAGTAGTAAGAGAGAAAAAGTTAGCATTTGAGAGGCTTTTACAAAGCAGAAGTGATGCAAGAAGGGAGGAGTATATGGAGAGAAAAAGAGAGGTTAAGAGAGTGGTGAAGCAATGTAAAAAAAAGAGCAAATGAGAGAGTGGGTGAGATGTTATCAATAAATTTTGTAGAAAATAAGAAAGTTTTGAGTGAGATTAATAAATTGAGGAAACCTAGGGAACGAATGGATTTGATATTTAAAAATAGGATAGGAGAGTTTTTAAATGGAGAGTTAGAGGTATCAGGAAGATGAAGGAAATATTCTGAGGAACTGTTAAATGTTGATGAAGATAGGGAAGCTATGATTTCGTGTACAAGGCAAGGAGGAATAAAATCTTGTAGAAATGAGGAAGAGCCAGTTGTGAGTGTGGGGGAAGTTCATGAGGCAGTGGGTAGAATGATAGAATGGAACAAAATAGAGTGACTTCGAAAGTGTATAAATCCATAGTGGAGGGAAGGTGGGGTAGAGATCTGCCTAGGAGAGGTTGGAGGGAGGGGGTAAAGGAAGTTTTTTGTGCGAGACGCTTGGACTTCCAGCAAGCATGCGTGAATATGTTAGATAGGAGCAAATAGAGACAAACGGTTTCTAGGATTTGATGTGCTGTTAGCGTGTGAGCACGGTAATATTTATGAAGGGATTCAGGGAAACTGGCAAGCTGGACTTGAGTCCTGGAGATAGGAAGTACAATGCCTGCACTCTGAAGGAGGAGTGTTAATGTTGCAGTTTTATAATTGTAGTGTATACACGCCTCTTGCAAGACAGTGATGGAGTGAATGATGGTGAAAGGTTTTCTTTTTCAGGCCACCTTACCTTGGTAAGAAACAGCCGATGTGTTAATAAAAAAAATAAAATAATTTAATGCTTCTCCCATATAGTGTACTGTGTACAGTACAGCATTTGAAAGAGGAAACCTACAGTCACTGTTAAGTACCATATTTAAAAAATTCCCAAAGTTTTTCCAATAGCAATAAGTCATAATACTGAATCATTATCAAAGTCCAGGATGGACTGAAACATCATCTAAAGTTTCCTCTCCTTAAAGAGCAGATATGTGAATAGTTTTTCCACTGTTGTATACTAATATTTCCTTTTGGATTAAATGTAAAAAGTGTAAACAATGGGACTAAGCTGACATAAGTGCCAAACATTAAGCTTCCTACAAATTGCCTTAAAAAGCTCTTATTTTATTCCTATTTTTAAAATATTAAAAAAGAATAATCATAACTCTCTACTCACTGTTAAATTGGTTCCATCTAAGAAAGCTCTGGCCACTTTAGGTGAAGACTCTGACCAGTCTGTTATATAGAGATACCTGAAAAATTAATGCAGGTGTCATATCTACTCTGAAAACCAGAAGTGTTGCTGTTATAATAACTCTCTCTAAACTTAACACATTTCCAGTAATTAGCAATGTCATTATACTGTGCATGGCTGGCTGGTGCTATTTATAAGAAAAATAAGACATGATTCAGATTATACATAAGGTAATGTATCTTGCCCAGCAATATATAATACTGTAATGACAAAATGAACATGTCAGGAAGGATTCCAAGCTCTAATTTAAATAAACCAGTCATGTCATCATTTGATCAGCCAAGTTGTAATACCAGAAAATAATTTGCCCTACCAACATAACCATTAAAAACTGAACACTCTCCATCAAAATCTAATCACAGACTTCATCCTTGCACCTCAGCTCACTAAGTTAACGTTAGCAACTATTTGCAAGAAAATACACTTACAATCAAGACTGCCATGATGTGAGTCAGGATGCATTTTATTGCATTATTACATGAATTATTCTTTTTAAATAACTTAACCCTTCGAGGGTCCATCCCGTAGTTTTACAGCTTTGAAGCCAGGGTCCAAGCCGTAGTTCTATGCCATGAGCTCAGCTCACTCAGATAAGCTGTGAGTGGTAAATCTGGGTCTAGATATGAGAGAATGCATCGATGTGATAAGAGTGCACCATATAAAGCAAATCCTGCAGCACGCAGTGCACAAGAAAAAAACTGACTTCTATTAAAACAGCAACTTTGCGAAATATTTTTGTATGTTTTTTATTGTACTCACAGCTTCTTGGTCTCATCTGATAGAAGGGAAGAAATATTACAAAAAGAGAGATGATTCTGATTGGTTTTAGTGCTGAAAATGGCTCAAAACTGAGATCAAAGTAGCAGAAATGTTCAATGTTTGCCGATGTTCAAGAGTAAACAAATGATGTCATGTGTCCAATGCACGTCAGATGGTGGGTCTAATGTGCGTTCACGAATGCGGCAATATTATTTATACAATTTTTGTCAATTTCCCATCAAATTTCGTACATTTTGTTTTATTACTTTCAAAAAAAATTCTTTACTATTTCCTAATAAAAAATAACAAAAATTTTTTTGAAAACTCTTGGACCCTGTGGACAAGCTTCAGATCAGGGGCCTGGACCCTGAAAGGGTCAAACTTTTCTAAACACCATGTTTACATGTTACATATTAATACTGCTAGATGGGTAGTGTGACTTTTCAATATTTTACCAAATTTTCCAGGCTAACTCCAATGTTTAGCCCTTTCAGGGTTCGTGCCATAGATCTATTGCTTTACGCTGAGGGTCCAAACCGTAGATCTACGCCATGAGTTCAGCTCACTCTGATAAGCTGTAAGCGGTAAATTTGGACCTAGATATGAGAGAATACATCTATGTGGTATGTGTGTACCACATAAAACAAATCCTACAGCACACAGTGCATAATGAGAGAAAAAACTGAGACCATAATTTTCGATTCAAATAGCATCTTAGCAGTATTTTTTCTTATGTTTTTTATAGCGGTATTTGAGATTTCTTGGTCTCATTTGATAGAATGGAAGATATATTACAGAAATAGAGATGAATTTGATTGGTTTTACTACTGAAAATGGCTTGAAACTGAGCTCAAAGTAGCGGAAATGTTAAATTTTTGCCCATGTTCAAGAGTAAACAAATGACCTCACACGTCTAATACACGCGAGCTGGTAGGTCTAATATATGTTCACAAATGAGCTGATATTATTTATACAATTATTACAATATTGCATGACAGTATATCTAATATTTTTTGGTTTGAATAAAAATTCATTATGTGAATTAAAAATCAAAATGGAATTCATTTGTAAAGCCTGAAAACATAAATAATAACAGAGGAAATGTTAATTTAGTGCCAGGAATGCCTGCATTGCTTATTCTGGACCCTATTTTGAAATTGGAATATTTTGAACTTTGCACTAAATTGGCCAAATTATCAATTTCCAACCACTCTATTTTGTAGTTGAAACAGTTGAGCTGGCAATTTCTTGTGCTCAATCGGTAGAATAGAAGTAATACTAGTGAAATAGCTAAGAATCTGGTCGACTGGAATAACTTAATTGGCCTAAAATGGGAGTCAAAGTTGGCAAAATCACCGATGTGTACACATCGCTGACACACCAAAATTCACAAGAGCATAATTTCGTCAGTTTTCCATCAAATTTTGTACTTTTTGTTTTAGTACCTTCAGAAAAAGATTCTCTACCATTTCATAAGAAAAAATACCAAAATTATTTTTTAAAAATTCTTGGACACTGGTGCGCACTTTGAAATTTGGCCGCTGGGCCCTGAAAGGGTTAGGCGCCTGAGGTGGTGCAGAAGATGATGAGGAATAGGTTGATAGAGTGTATAAATCTAGGGTGGAAGGTAGAAAGGTTAGGGGTCATACCAGGAACAACTTGAGGGATAGGGTAAAAGAAGCCTGAGCATCCAACAGGCTTGTGCAAGCGTGTCAAAAGTGAAGGAGACAAGTGGTTTTTAATAGATGTGCTGTTGGAAGGATTCTGGTAAAAACATGTTGGACAGACTTGAGTTCAGAAGATGGGAAGGGAAGTGCCTGCACTCTTTAGGAGAGACAGGGATGTTACCATCATAGGATAATTTGATTATGAAGTCAGCGTACTTATGCTAAGATGGCAACTGAATGAAGGATGGTAGTTGTTTCTTCTTCTAAGTCACCTTGCCTTGACTTAAAAAAATATACAGTATACAGTGGAACCTCTGGTCACAAATGCTTCCGAACACGAACAAATCGGTTCACGACCAAAAAATTCGCCAAATTTTTGCATCTGGTCACGAACACATAATCGGGTGCCAAACAAACACAGCCACACCAATTTTCACATTCCGTGCCATTTTGCTGCACGTGCCAATTTTCCTCACTTCCCGTTGTTGGTGTACACCTCACCTTGTAGCCAGTCTTGGACAGATGTGCGTTCATTCACTGTGAATACCTTGTGTTGTATTTCAGGTGTTTTTGAGTTCATTTTGCAATTAACCATGGCCTCTAAGCAAGTGAAGAGTAGTAATGTGGGAAAAAAGAGGGTTTGAAGAAAATTTAAATAGGTGTGAAGAAGGAAATTATTGAAAAGTATGAGTATGGTGTGCGTGGTACTGATCTTGCTGCAGAGTTCAAGAAGCTGAAGTCTACAATCCCAACTATTCTGAAGCAGAGAGTGGCTATTAAAGCAGCTAATGTTGCTAAGGAAGTTAAGATGTTAACCAAGAAGAGGTCTCAAGTGCTGGAAGAAGCAGAGAAACTGTTGCTAGTGTGGTTGAACGAGAAGCAACTTGCAGGTGATAGTATAAGTGAAGTAATCATATGCGAGAAAGCCAGGAAGATACGCAGTGATTTGCGGCAGAATTACCCTTCTACGAGTGCAGGAAGTGATGCATTTAAAGCCAGTAGAGGATGGTTTAAAAAGTTTCGTAAGAGAAGTCTCATTCAAAGTGTGGTAAGGCATGGAGAGGCTGCTAGTTCTGATGCTGCTGCTGCGGAAGCGTTCACGAAAGATTTCGCTGAATTCATGAAGGCCGAAGGAAACATCCTGCAACAAATGTTTAACTGCGACGAGACCGGGTTGTTTTGGAAGAAGATGCTGAGGAGGACCAACATAACCCAGGAGGAGAAGGCTATGCTCGGCCACATGGCAATGAAGAACAGATTAACCCTTTTGCTGTGCACAAATGCAAGTGGCAAACTAAAAATTAAACCTCTAGTCATCTATCAATTTGAGAATCCTCGTGCGTTCAAGCAGCACAATGTGAACAAGGCCAGACTGCCCGTGATGTGGAGGGCGAATACGAAGGGTTGGGTCACGAGGAGCTCGTTTTTAGAATGGCTGCACGAGTTTTTTGTTCCCGCTGCTAGGAAATATCATGCCAACAATCTTCTACCTGAAAGGTGCCTTCTTCTGATGGATAATACACCGGCACACCCTCCAAGTTTGGTTGACCATGTGGACATTGTGTACGACTTCATTAAAGTCAAGTTCCTTTCCTCCCCAATGCAACTTCTTTTCTGCAGCCCATGAACCAGCAAGTGATCTCCAACTTCAAGAAGATATACATTAACCCTTTCAGGGTCACGAGGCCCCTCTCCTAAACTTGTTCCCAGGGACAAAAATTTTTCAGAAAAAAAAAAATTATTTTTCTTATGAAAAGATAGAGAATCTTTTCCCGATCATAATGACACCAAAAGTATGAAATTTGATGGAAAACTTATGGAATTATGCTCTCGTGAAGTTAGCGGTCGCCGAATTTGAGCCCTATTTTCGGCCAATTCCAGGGTAATAGTTGACAAAAATCATAACTATTTCGCTAGAACTCCATTTTTTCTATCGAATGAGTACAAGAAACTGCCCATTTACCGATTTCAACTATCCAATAAAGTGGTCAAAAACTAGCAATTTTGCCAATTTCACACAAATTTCAAAAGATGTCAACTTTCATATAGGATCCAGAATAAACAAGACAGACATTCCTGGCACTAAAATAATATTTCCTCTGTTCATTAGTCACATCCCTAGTCTCCTCTTTTATTTCTTTTGCTTTCTACTTTGAATTTTTATTCTCACAAAAAATAGAAGATTTACTGTTATGCAGACTACTGCATTAGTGTAGAAATGGTATAAATAATATCAGAACTTGTGAAAGAATATTAGACTCACCAGATGATGTGTATTGGAAGCGTGGCATGATTTACTTTTGAACTTTGGCAAAAATCGAACATTTCTGCTACTTTGAGCTCAATTTCATGGTACTTTTCATTGTGAAACCAATCAAAATCATCTCAATTTCTGTAATATGTCTTCCATTATATAAAATGAGACCAAGAAAACTAGAATACAACCATAAATACCATACAAAAATACAGTGCAAATTCACTGTTTTAAACCATAAACACGGTCCAAGTTTCTTTTTTCTCATTTACGCACTGTGTGCTGCAGGATTTTTTTTATACTGTGCACACAGACCACATAGACCCATTCTTCCATATATAGGCCTACCAGCTTTCTCTTGCTAGATTTGAAGGCGCTAGAATTTAGGCATATGTACTAGTACATCAATAACCCTTGTGCGTAAGCCGTACTAGTACGTCGGAAACCCTGAAAGGGTTAAGGGACTCTTCACCAGGTGTTTTAATGTGACCAAAGAAACATCTCTGATGCTGAAGGAGCTCTGGAAGAACCATTTCAACATTGTGCATCGCATAAGCATCATCGACAAAGCCTGGGAAGACGTCATGTACCAGACGTTGAATTCAGCGTGGAAGAAAGTTTGGCTTGAATGCATTCCTGACTGAGATCTCAAAGGATCTGAGACCTCTGTTGTGGAGTAGATCGTGTCCATGGGCAAGAGCATGGGTCTTGTAGTCGACAGTTACGACATCGACGAAATGGTCGAGGATCACAAGGAGGAACCGACAACGGATGAACTCGCTGAACTCCAGAATGAGCAGCATAAGGTGTTCACTGAGGAGCACTCATCGAAGGAAGAAGAAAGGGAGGAGATTAAAAGCAATGTGATAAAAGCCATAGAAAAATGGAATGAGTGCCAGGATTTCTTGAGAAGAACCACCCTGATAAAACTGTTACGAACAGTGTTAAACCTGATGAATGATAACACTGTCTTTCAGTTCTGTAACACTTTGATGCGAAGGAAAAGACAAGTTACATTAGATCAGTTTATGGTGAAGTTTGGTCCACCAGCTAAATGAGAGAAACACCTGAAAGAGAACATCCCTCGAATGCAGAGGCAGACTCTCCCTCTAAACAGTAACGTCCTCCTCACTTATCTTCTCCTCACTTCCTTCACACCAGAAGTCAACTCATGCAAGGTAAGTTTTCTTGGTAATTTACGGTATGTTTTTTCCTCTGTTATTTAAAGTTTTTTTCTCCATTAAACTGTGCATTATTTTGTATAATTAAGGATTTTTCAAACTTCGATTATTTTTTGGGCTTAAAACTCTTAAAAAAAAATATTTACAACTAACTGTTTGTGGGGGGTCTAGAACAGACTTATGCAATGTTAGTTTTCTCTGTTGTTCAAGGTTCTCTCAGTGTTATTCAAGGTTTTTACATTTAGTTTACTATTACACTGTGCATTCTATGGCATAATTAACTATTTTTGTGCTTAAAAATCTTAAAAAACAATATTTACAAAGTTCATAGGGGTCTGGAATGGATTAAGTATATTTACACACAATCCAATGGGAAAATTAGGTTCGGGTCACAACCAAATCAGGTTGCGACCAATTTTGGAACGAATTATAGTCATGACCAGGGGTTCCTCTGTATATTATTTTAACAGGAGGTAGTAGGTTGGTAGACAGCAACCACCCAGGGAAGTACCACCGTCCTGCCAAGTGAGTGTAAACCGGAAACCTGTAATTGTTTTACATGATGGTGGGATTCCTGGTGTCTTTTTATTGTCTGGCTACTCCTACTTACACTTAGGTCACACTACATATACATGTACAAGCATTTATATACACACCCCTCTGGGTTTTCTTTCTAGTTCTTGTTTATTTCCTCTTACCTCCATGGGAAAGTGAAACAGAATTCTTCCTCAGTAAGCCATGCATGTTGTAAGAGGCGACTAAAATGCCGGGAGCGAGGGGCTAGTAACCTCTTCTCCTGTATATATTACTAAATGTATAAGGAGAAACTTTCGTTCTTCCTTTTGGGCCACCCCGCCTCGGTGGGATACAGCCGGTGTGTTGAAAGAAAGAAGATTGCTGGAGTCTCTTTTCTGTCTCATAAACACACGGGATAACAGGTATATCTTGCTACTTCTACTTACACTTAGGTCACACTACACATGAATGCACATGCATATATATCCTTACCCATCTGGGTTTTCTTCTATTTTCTTAATAGTTCTTGTTGTTTATTTCCTCTTATCTCCATTGGGAAGTGGAACGGAATTCTTCCTCTGCAAGTTATGCATGTCGTACGAGACTACTAAAATGCCAGGTCACCCTGCCTTGGTGGGTTACAGCAGGCTTGTGGAAAAGAAAAAATTATTTTAACATACCCGTCTCTTTCCACCAAGGCAGGACAACCCAAAAAAAATAGGAAACACATTCACCATCATTCATTCAATCACTGTCTTGCTAGAAGTGTGCTTGCATCACAAGTCAGATGACCCTCTAAATTGCAACATCCTTATCCTTCCTTCAGAGTGAAGGTACTGCCTGTACCACCTCTATAAATGCTACCTTGCTCACACACTAACAGCACGTCAAACATTAAAAACCACTTATCTCCACTTACTCTGATCTAACACCCTTACAGAACCCTGCTGGATACTAATGCCCCAAGCACTCAAAACTTCCTTTATTCTCTCATGAATAATACATAATTAATACACAACAGTTTTCAGGAATCCAGGTATAGTACATTTTTGCACAAGACTTTACTGTACAGTATATATAAAATATAGCTAGCATAGATAAATATATGATAAAATACAGGTGCAGGTTATAAAAAACTAGTCATTCAAACCCTCGAACTGGATGGAGAGCAATGCCACGTGGATTATCCAAAGCGCTGCTGTTGAGAAGGGTTCTCCTCATACGTCCGAAGTATGAAATGTCAGTACGAATAACCTCGAGTGTTTTTCTTTCTCCATCAACAAAGTAGAGATTCTTAGAGATCCAATCAAATGCAAGTCCTTCAACACTTCGAAGATTGGTATCAACCAAAGTTTCCACATTATGCTCTCCATCAAAACAGAGACGCTGTTTGGAAGAAAAAAGTTAAAGTGCTATAAATAAACTTTGGATTTACATTGTATATTTAACAGAATACAAAACTGCATAACAAAACTGCATTTATGGATTTAGAAAACGCATATGATTGAGTAGATAGGGGAGCAATGTGGCAGATGTTGCAAGTATATGGAATAGGTGGTAAGTTACTAAATGCTGTAAAGAGTTTTTATGAGGATAGTGAGGCTCAGGTTAGGGTGTGTAGAAGAGAGGGAGACTACTTCCCGGTAAAAGTAGGTCTTAGACAGGGAAGTGTAATGTCACCATGGTTGTTTAATATATTTATAGATGGGGGTTCTAAAAGAAGTAAATGCTAGGGTGTTACAGAGAGGGGTGGGATTAAATTATGGGGAATCAAATACAAAATGGGAATTGACACAGTTGCTTTTTGCTGATGATACTATGCTCATGGGAGATTCTAAAGAAAAATTGCAAAGGTTATTGGATGAGTTTGGGAGTGTGTGTAAAGGTAGAAAGTTGAAAGTGAACATAGATAAGAGTAAGGTGATGAGGGTATCAAATGATTTAGATAAAGAAAAATTGGATATCAAATTGTTGAGGAGTATGGAAGAAGTGAATGTTCTCAGATACTTGGGAGTTGACGTGTCGGCGGATGGATTTATGAAGGATGAGGTTAATCATAGAATTGATGAGGGAAAAAAAGGTGAGTGGTGCGTTGAGGTATATGTGGAGACAAAAAATGTTATCTATGGAGGTAAAGAAGGGAATGTATGAAAGTATAGTAGTACCAACACTCTTATATGGGTGTGAAGCTTGGGTTGTGAATGCAGCAGCGAGGAGGCGGTTGGAGGCAGTGGAGATGTCCTGTCTAAGGGCAATGTGTGGTGTAAATATTATGCAGAAAATTCGGAGTGTGGAAATTAGGAGAAGGTGTGGAGTTAATAAAAGTATTAGTCAGAGGGCTGAAGAGGGGTTGTTGAGGTGGTTTGGTCATTTAGAGAGAATGGATGAAAGTAGAATGACATGGTAAGTGTATAAATCTGTAGGGGAAGGAAGGCAGAGTAGGGGTCGTCCTCGAAAAGGTTTGAGGGAGTGGGTAAAGGAGGTTTTGTGGGTGAGGGACTTGGACTTCCAGCAAGCGTGTGTGAGCGTGTTAGATATGAGTGAATGGAGACAAATGGTATTTGGGACCTGATGATCTGTTGGAGTGTGAGCAGGGTAATATTTAGTGAAGGGATTCAGGGAAACCGGTTATTTTTATATAGCCGGACTTGAGTCCTGGAAATGGGAAGTACAATGCCTGCACTCTAAAGGAGGGGTTTGGGATATTAGTAGTTTGGAGGGATATGTTGTGTATCTTTATAGGTATATGCTTCTAAGCTGTTGTGTTCTGAGCACCTATGCAAAAACAGTGATTATGTGTGAGTGAGGTGAAAGTGTTGAATGATGATTTAAGTATTTTCTTTTTGGGGATTTTCTTTCTTTTTTGGGTCACCCTGCCTCAGTGAGAGATGGCCGACTTGTTAAAAAAAAAAAAAATGCATAAGCCAGTTTGTTTATTATGAACAAATTCTTTCGTCTTACATCGTTTTCAATAATTCCTGTAAGATCTGTTAGTTTAATATGACAGTTTATGGATTACCAAATACAGTGCATCAGTGATGAATAAACAAAAAACACTACACTGAAAAACTGCAATATTATATAATGTAAATTTTCCAAATCACACACAAAATTTGTATATATTGACTAAGAATTTTTTTCAATTTGCCTGCCATACAACTAGATGGGTGTTCACTTACAGCAATCTACAGTTACCCACATTTACTCACAATTTAAGCCTACTGGGCTAGTGTTTAGAGTCATGTTTACTAAATATTTCCACTCTTAATGTTTTACCAATCTTTTATCAAATGATGCTTAAATTAGAATTCCTGTACCAAAGCAGTTGGAAGAGAATATTCAGTGTGCATTTACAGATTTAAAAGCATCCACTACTAGTGTACATTACCATACATTTCACTACAATCACACATTCCCATGCCTTCTACAGAGATGTGTCAACTCAGGCTGCAATTCCATAATTGTTGTACATGCTAGTGACTGATAGAATTAAAAAAAAAAAAAAAAAAAAAAAAAAAAAGAATGCCCAAATGAGAAAGATGTGATAGTGAGAGAACCTGACTGCAGATAATTCTCAAGAGACTATTACACCAGTGGACTGTTGACATCTATCTTACGTATTCAAATTTAGGCAATTCCTTATATTTTAAAATAGTCTAGGTTCTTACCATAGACACTTAATCCACTCTTTTCACTATTAAAAAGCATCTGCAGAGTAAAACCCAAGATAAAAAAACTACACTTAATTTTTTTTTTTTTAACATGCTGGCTGTCTCCCACCGAGGTAAGGTAACACGAAAAAGAAACACTTTCACCATCATTCACACTATCACTGTCTTTCCAGAGGCATGCAGATACAACAGTTTAGATGTCACTCTAAACAGCAAATATCCTAAACCCCTCCTCTAGAGTGCAGGCACTGTACTTCCCATCTCCAAGACTCAAGTCTAATATATTTCAATAAAAAAAGTGGTACTAAAACTTACATTTATTTTCTTCAGTTCTACATCTGACCAATAAATACAGTTAGTTGCCATATCAAAGTCAAGAGCAATAACCATCTTCAAATTAGGGATAGGCAGCGGCTCAAGTCCATCCTCTGGGTTAACAAGATTGTAGCGAAGGATCTCCTGACGTGCTGATACAAGCAGGAATTCTTGTTCTTCACTATGAAAAAAATACTGTATTATTAATAATGCTCAGAATGTAACTTATGCTATATAATCATTGAAATTATTATTTAATAAACTTGAGTCAAACTTTACTTAAGGTACAAAAGAAAAAATATAAAAACTAGTAAATTACAAAAAATTTATTTGTAAAAATAATCACCCTTCTTTAGCAAGAGAAGGCTACTGAGGAAAAAAAAAAGGTCATAGCTAATTAAAATATTTAAATAATTTAGTTAACAAATTAATTATATAAGGCCCATTATTTGAAGAAGAAAAAAAAAAAGATTAATTTTAACCCTCTGAAGGTCTGTCCCATAGTTCTACACCTTGTCCACAGGGTCCAAGATTTTCAAAAATAAATTTATTTTTTCTTATGAAATGGTAGACAATATTTTTCTGAAGGTAATAAAATAAAAAACATGAAATTTGATGGAAAACCGACTTAATTACGCTTTCGCGAATTTTGCAGAATAGCGATATTTACGCATCAGCGATTCTGCCCACTTTGACTCCTATTTTAGGCCAATTACATTATTCCAGTTGAGCAAATTCTTAGCTATTTCGCTAGTATTACTTCTATTTTATCGAGTGAACACAAGAAACTGCCCAGTCAACTATTTCAATTACCCAATAAAGTGATGAGAAATTGGTTATTTGGCCAGTTTCACACAAAGCAGGCATTCCTGGCACTAAAATAACATTTCCTCTGTTTATTACTTTCATTTTCAGGCTTTACAGATGAATTCCATTTTCATTTTTTATTCATATAAAGAATTTTTATTGTATTATTGTATAAATAATATCAGTGTATTCATAACGTATCTTAGACCCACCAGTCAACGTGTATTGGATGAGTGATGTCATTTGTTTACTCTTCCATTCTATCAAACGAGACCAAGAAACCCCAAATACAACTGTAAAAACCATACAAAAATACACCCGAGTTGCTGTTTTAATCCAAAAACACAGTCGCAGTTTTTTCTCATTATGCACTGTGTGCTGCAGATTTGTTTTATATGGTGCACATTTATCACATAGATGCATTCTCTCATATCTAGACCCAAATTTACCACTCACAGCTTATCTGAGTGAGCTGAGCTCATGACGTAGCACTATGGCTTGAACCCTGGCTTCAAAGCCATAGAACTATGGACAGATCTTCAATGGATTAATTATGTAAACAACTTTCTATTTCTTTTCAAAATTAGGTACAATAGTTCTTCAATTATATATTTAAATATGAGTAAATCATAAAACTTACGAAACAGGGCAGGAAGTAATGGAAGGGTTATACTGAAACTCTCGTCCCCCTTCACAAGAATCTCCAGGAATTCGACGGTAACCCTTTGTTCTATTGTAGAAATGACCAGGTTTGCAGGTGAGGGGGACTGCGTATGGATCAATGCTGTCATCTGGGTCTTTTAAGCACTTCTGTGTTTCCATGTCATTAGCAAAGCCAAAGTCACATTCAAAATCCTCACGATCACAAAAACAATTCTCAACTGAGATAGGCCTATCGTAGTCAATGCCATTGAAGCAGTCTGAGCGAGGAACACGGCGTTCATAAACCTGCTTTCGTCCTAGCAAACATGTATGTCCACTACGACCGTCAGATGGAGACCACGTTTTGTAATCATCAGCAGAGCATTGGTATTTAAAAACAGACTTCATATCCACCTAAAAGAAAAGAAAAACTAAAAATACTGTACTCTGGATAACAGAGAAATCAAATATTTCCTTTGCCACAAAATGAAAAAAAATGTTTCTTAGCACATTAAATTAACTGCACACCATTAGTTTGAAATTCATAGATACTCAAGCACCAATGCTATGTACAGTATTATTAACTTGTAAACGGTCCAAACGTATATATATATATACGTTTTTTCAACATTTGAAAGTATGTAAAAAAAAGTAGATCTTCTTTTTGTTTTTTTACATTTGAAAATGTGTAAAAAAAACTTTGATCTACTTTTTTTTTTGTTACATTTGAAAATATGTAAAAAAACGTAGATCTACTTTTGTAGCACTACACATGTGAACGTAGATCTGCTTGGACTGTTTACGGGTTAAATATTGTGTAGTATATGATTTGTCTTATACTGAACATCCACATGGTACACATCTGTTTTAAATACCACACGAGTAACAACATCAAGTAACTCGTGGTGATAGACATAACTTCATGTGGTAGCCATGGCTCCCCCCGCCACAATAAATCCTTTACAATTATTTTCAGTATAGTAGCCCAAAATATTGAAACCTAATTTAAGCAAATGATTGGGATTAAAGTATACATATATACAAATTTAAATCACGTAAATTAACATCACAAAGAATACCCAAATAAAATACAGTGGAACCTCGGTACTTGAACAGCTCCCTACTCGAACAAGGCTCGGCACTCGACCAAACAAACATGACCTGTGAGTACTTTGCTGTAAACTATTTCGTGTTTCTTCACATTTTTTTGTGTTTTTTTTATATTATTTGTATAAATAAGTAACCATGGGGCCTAAGAAGATTAGTGATAACAGCCAACCAAAAAAAAAAACTGGTTGGAAAAATTTAATTCGATACTCGAACAGATCAGCACTTGAACAGCCTTCTGAAATGAATTAAATTTGAGTACCGAGGTTTCGCTGTGATTAATTTACATGGATTTTGACACGGAGCTTAGCTAAATATTAACCCTATGGCTGTCGCAACCCCAAATCGTGAGTGTTGCAAAATATTTAAAAAAAAAAAAAAAAAAAAAAAATCTTATGAAATAATAGAGAATTTTTTCCTGGTGGTAATGACACCAAAAGCTCTCGCAAAGTTAGTGACCTCGGCGATATTTATGAATCAGCGATTTTACCCACTTTGAGCCCTATTTTCGGCTAATTCCATTGTTCCAGGCGACCAAACTCATAACTATTTCTTTAGAACCCCATCTGTTCTATCGACTGAGTACAAGAAACTGCTCATTTACCGATTTCAACTACCCAATAACATGGTCAGAAATTGGCAACTTGGCCAATTTCATGTAAATTAAAAAATATGCCAATTTCAAAATAGGGTCCAGAATGAACAATGCAGACATTCCTGGCTCTAAAATCAATTTTCTTTGTTCATCAGTTACGTCTCCAGGCCCCTCTGATATTACTCTTGCTTTCTCTTTTGAATTTTTATTCAAACAAAAAAATAGATTTACTGTTATGCAGACTACTGCAATATTGTAATAATTGTATAAATAACATCAACCCATTCATGACCACATATTAGAATGGTTAGCTGGACATTTATTGGACAATGACATCATTTGTTTACTCTTGAACATCTGCAAAAATCAGACATTTCCCCTAATTTCAGCTCCATTTCAAGGTCCTTTTCATAGTAAAACCAATCAAAATCACCTCTATTTCTATAATATGTTTTCCATTCTATCAAACGAGACCAAGAAAACGAGAATACAACCATAAATACTATAGGAAAATACACCTCAAAGTCGGTGTTTTAAGCCAAAAAGTTTTTTTTTTCTCATTATGCATTGCGTGCTGCAGGATTTTTTTTATATGGTGCACACTGACCACACAGACCCATTCTCTCACATGTGGGCCTACCAGCTTTCTCCTGCTTGATTTGAAGCCGCTAGAATTTTTGAGTATACATACGTCAAACACATTGGCTCGTAAGACGTATACAGGTCTCCCTCAACATTCGCGAGGGTTAGGGGATCAAGAGCCTCGCAAATGTTGAAAAATCGCGAATGTTTGGTGTCCCAATATATTGTAGGGAAATACTACAATACAATACTGCTTCCTTAACTTGTTGAACCATGAACAGTCATAAAATACATGAAAATGTCATAAAATATTGTGCTAAATACATACATGTTATGGTTTAATAACATGTATGTCATTAAATACCACTGCCTCAACCACTGCGGCACACTGCTCATATTTTGGTACAATTTCTTTCTTCAATTCTATCGTGTTTCTCAATTTCTTTACCAAAGGGTTGGCACTAGCAAGTTCCTTTGGGCCCACGGTTAATTATGTAGCAACTGCACTCAATCTACAAGCAGCAAACACAACGAATTATTGTGAAATATTTGGAAGAGCACGGAGGCTAATGCTCACTCCAGCATAAATAAAGCCACACTGACTGACGATGCCTCAGCCACTTCCTCCACCACTGCTTTAACCCTTGTATTTTTGTATTTCCTTCTTCAATTATTATTATTAATACAATAGAAATGAAGAAGGAAATTGTACAAAAATATGAGGGTTGAAGCAGTGGTGGAGGAAGTGGTTGAGGCATCGTCAGTCAGTGTGGTCTTGTTATGCTGGAGTAAGCATTAGCCTCCGTGCTCTTCCAAACATTTCACAATAATTCATTGTGTTTGGTGCTTGTAGATTAAGGGTAACTGCAGTGGTAGGGGCAGTGGTTGAGGCAGTGGTTGAGATAGTGGTTGAGGCAGTGGTTGAGGCAGCGGTTGAGGCAGCGGTTGAGGCAGGAGTTGAGGCAGCAGTTGAGGCAGCAGTTGAGGCAGTGGTTGAGGCAGCGGTTGAGGCAGCGGTTGAGGCAGCAGTTGAGGCAGCGGTTGAGGCAGCGGTAGAGGCAGTGGTTGAGGCAGTGGTATTTAATAACATACATGTTAATAATAATAATAATAATAGTTATTAATAATATGTATTATTATCATTAATAACATAGATTTTATTAAATATCACTGCCTCAACCACTGCCTCAACCGCTGCCTCAACCGCTGCCTCAACTGCTGCCTCAAGAAAGAAAGGAGTAGCAATAATGTTGAAGGATAAGCTATGGCAGGAAAAGAGGGACTATAAATGTATTAATTCAAGGATTATGTGGAGTAAAATAAAGGCTGGATGTGAGAAGTGGGTTACAGCAAGCATAGATGCACCTGAGGAAGAGAAAAGTATAGAGGAGAGAGAGAGATTTTGGGAAATGTTGAGTGAATGCATGGGGAGTTTTGAACCAAGTGTGACAATACTTGTGGTTGGGGATTTTAATGCTAAAGTGGGTAAAAACGTTGTGGAGGGAGTAGTAGTTAAATTTGGGGTGCCAGGGGTAAATGAAAATGAGGAGCCTTAATTGAGCTATGTGTAGAAAGAGGTTTGGTAATAAGTAATACATATTTTATGAAAAAAGAGGATAAATAAATATACAAGGTATGATGTAGCATGTAATGAAAGTAGTTTGTTAGATTATGTATTGGTGGATAAAAGGTTGATGGGTAGGCTCCAGGATGTACACGTTTATAGAGGGGCAACTGATATATCGGATCATTATCTAGTTGTAGCTACAGTTAGAGTAAGAGGTAGATGGGATAAGAGGAAAATGGCAACAAGTAAGAGGGAGGTGAAAGTGTATAAACTAAGGGAGGAAGAAGTTCGGGTGAAATATAAGCAACTATTGGTAGAAAGGTGGGCTGGTGCAGGTATGAGTAGTGGGGGGGTTGAAGAGGGTTGGAATGGTTTTCTAAATGCAGTACTAGAATGTGGGGCAGAAGTTTGTGGTTATAGGAGGGTGGGTGCAGGAGGAAAGAGGAGTGATTGGTGGAATGATAAAGTAAAGGGTGTGATTAAAGAGAAAAAGGTAGCTTATGAGAGGTATTTACAAAACAGAAGTGTTATAAGAAGAGTAGAGTATATGGAGAGTAAAAGAAAGGTGAAGAGAGTGGTGAGAGAGTGCAAAAGGAGAGCAGATGATAGAGTGGGAGAGGTACTGTCAAGAAATTTTAAAATATCATCTTTTAGGAGTGAAGAAGAGCAGGATCTGAGTGTGGGGGAGGTGTGCGAGGCATTACATAGAATGAAAGGGAGTAAAGCAGCTGGAACTGACGGGATCATGACAGAAATGTTAAAAGCAGGGGGAAATATAGTGTTGGAGTGGTTGGTATTTTTGTTTAATAAATGTATGAAAGAGGGGAACGTACTTAGGGATTGACGGAGAGCATGTATAGTCCCTTTATATAAAGGGAAGGGGGACAAAAGAGATTGTAAAAATTATAGCGGAATAAGTTTACCGAGTATACCAGGAAAAGTGAACGGTAGGGTTGTTATTGAAAGAATTAGAGGTAAGACAGAATGTAGAATTGTGGATGAGCAAGGAGGTTTTAGGGTGGGTAGGGGATGTGTAGGTCAAGTGTTTACATTGAAGCATATATGTGAGCAGTATTTAGGTAAAGGTAGGGAAGCTTTTATTGCATTTATGGATTTAGAAAAGGCATATGATAAGAGTCCTGACGATCTGTTGGAGTGTGAGCAGGGTAATATTTAGTGAAGGGATTCAGGGAAACCGGTTATTTTATATAACCGGACTCGAGTCCTGGAAATGGGAAGTACAATGCCTGCACTCTAAAGGAGGGGTTTGGGATTTTTGCAGTTTGGAGAGATATACTGTGTATTTTTATACGTATATACTTCTAAACTGTTGTATTCTGGGCACCTCTGTAAAAACAGTGTTTATGTGTGAGTGAGGTGAAAATGTTGAATAATGATGAAAGTATTTTCTTTTTGGGTTTATGTGTGAGTGAGGTGAAAATGTTGAATAATGATGAAAGTATTTTCTTTTTGGGGATTTTCTTTCTCTTTGGGTCACCCTGCCTTGGTGGGAGACGGCCGACTTGTTGAAAAAAAAAAAAATATGATAGAGTGGATAGGGAA